AGATTTTAGGCCATCACTGATCAATTTAACGTTTTTTTTTCTTTGATTTGCGTCATTTTTATTGGTTTTCACGAGATAATATCAGTGTCAACATTTCAAAGGGGCGTAATTGCTTTTGTAAACAATGACTTTAGCCGTCAATTTCTCGCGAATGATATCTTACCTCTCCCAAATTACAATGCTAGCTGGTAGAGGAAACATTCCTCTACCTGGTGGTGTTATTATTTTTCATGAGTGAGCTTTTATTTGCGAGAAATCTATGGCTAAAGCCATTGTTTACAAATGCAATTACGCCCCTTTGAAATGTTGGCACTGATATGTAATGGTAAAATGATCAATTGACGTGTTTAAGCGCTTTTCTATTAAGATATTAATTAATTAAGCATACATACCATTCAATCGATGCAAAAGCCAATTGTTTGCTTTTTCAGCCTTTTGATGATATCACTTTAAAAAAAAAGTAAATTGTTCATTTTACTTCCGAGCTCCCAATCGCTTCAAATTTCTTTCAACAAATATCAAAGCACTTCTGACAATTCAAATCATGAAAATGTGGGTCCATGTTTTCCAGCTGTATGTTTTGTGGAAGCTTATTTATTCTCTAGCTAGAAGCTTCGAAGTGCTAAGTGGCTACTCATAAACCATGGGGGGAAGGTTGGCAAGTGTCCATGTTCCATACAATTTTTGTTTATTATTATGGAAAGCCGCCTCTAAGGCTTTAATTTGAAGGCTTTATCTTTGTATTAGTAAACTTCGATGCGGGGGCGGCGTAGTGATTAATATCTATACCTTTCACGCCAAAATCACGACTTCAAATCTTACTCCCCGATAAGTCAAAAATGACCCAATAGTACACCCAATAATAAAAATAAAAATAAAAATTTCGATGTAAATGATGAAATTAATACGAAGAAGCATTTTCTTATGGCAGTAATACAGTAATATTTTTTTAAGAACTTGCTGAGAAAGTCTTTTATAGATTATGAAGATGCATAAGTTCTTGTATCTTTTAAAAAATACTGCTTATGAAACTTACTTATTTCAGACAATTTTACATTTGACAACGACCTTTATTGAAAGCATGCTCCAAAAAAGGGCCTCCCTTAGCTCAGTCGTTAAGACCACCCGCACCAATGCGTTGCTAAAGTTATTTTGGTAACCTCCACCATTGAAGTGCGGGAAATAACAAACTGCCTCTCGGTGAACAGCAGGTTAGCAAATTTGTCAGCGCGATAGCAACTGACCCAAGCGTTGCTATTTTTGAATTGTCATTTTTATTTTTGATTTTAAAATTGTTAAAAATCATTTGCAATAATTGGTATATGAATGTGTTTGAATCTGGGACCCCAGGTCAATTCGTAAAAAAGAATCTAGAGTTCCGCAACTTTTTGAAACACCTTATTGTGATGTTGCATGAATGCATTTGGATTTGAGACCAGGATGTGCACTCTGGTGGCCACGGGATGGTCATCCGGCAGATCCAGAACATCCGTAAAGATGGTCAATTCGTAGATCCTAAAGCTCAGCGATTGTTTTGAAATCATTTATTTTGATGCTACATTAACTAATTTGAATCTAGGACCATGCGCACTCTGCTGGCTACGGACTTGTCCGAGGGAGATCCAAACCATCCGTAAAAGCTATCAATTCGTCCTAGGGACTATCCATAAATGACGTAGCATAGCATTATGACCAATTTTAGACCCACCCCCTCCTCCTCATAGTGTATTTTGCGATAAATAATATATTACCAGTCCCTATTTCTGCAACCCTCATCCCCCTAAAATGCTACGTAATTTATGCATCGTGTTCTGGAGCTTCTACCAGTTTCCTCTACATGTATTCTTGAGCCAGAAAGGATCATCTGTTTAACAACGGAAGTTTATACCTACTTCTTTCGAATGCTTCTTCCAACACCCCTCAGAAGACTCATCAAACTGCATTTGGAAGTTTCTTCTGGCTTTCTTCTCTATGGTGTCTGCCTCGGTGTCTCCCGGTGACCGTTTCTATGAACGCTATTAAACGTCATAAAATTGAAATTTTTGCAGAAAAATCTACTTTTATGTTATGAGAAACTCTTCAAACCGATCATTGCAGATGAAATGCTATCATATCTATCACCTAAATTTTTTACACAATCAATTTTCCCCGGATCAAGGAAACCACCATGACAAGCCTGCACAGATCTAGGATATTTTTCTTTAAATGACCACTTTTACGTAGGTTCAAGATCTTCCGGAGGAACAAGCTTGGACGCTAGGACACACGCGCTAGGTCTCCGATCCAAATTCATTCATGTAGTATCACAACAATGAATTACCATAAATTCGCGGAGCTTTGGCATCTTTTTTTTACAAACTTACCACTATTACAGATATTCTTAATCTTCCGGAAGACCACTCCGTGGCCAGCAAAGTGCGCATACTAGTCCCAGATTCAAATTAAATCATGCAGTACATTAAAAAAGCAGGGGAGCTTTATAATCTTTTTAACGAATTGACCACTTTTACGGATATTTCGGATCTTCCGGAGGACCGTCCCGTGGCCCGCAGAGTGCACAAGCAGGTCTCAAATCCAAATTCATACATATAGCTCCACAACAAGTAATTTAAACAAATCGCGGAGTTCTTGAATAATTTTTACAAATTGACCACTTATACGGATATTCCAGATCTTCCAGAGGACTGTTCTCAGCCACTGGAGCTGGTCTCAGATTAAAATTAATTAATGCAGTATCACAATAAGTGATTTACAAAAGTCGCTTAGCTATAGGATCTTTTTACGAATTGACAACCTTTACGGATGTGTCGGATCTTCCGGAGGACCGTTTCTTTAACCCCTAGGTCTATAGTTGTATCTTAACCTTCAATCGTCAATCTTCATGGTTAGGAATATCAATATTATCGAAAACAAATAATCACGAAGCTCTCTGCGATCAGTTTTAGCTCAAACTTCGACGCTAGGTTTAGCAATTACCGGAAACGAATAAGTTGTTATTTGATTTGATTGGCATTATTAGATGGGGTGAATGTCGGCACCCATTGACTGTTTTTTGGCAACCAACATTTAAACGTTAATTTCACTGTATTTTCCCATCAAAACACTTCGCTCAATTTATTCAAACAATTTTTTAGTCTTTCAGCTTCAATCTGATTACATTTGTACGACTGTCAATCCTGTTCTGCCAGATTTTTATTTAAACGGAACATACGCACCACAAAATACAGCTGATTTCGAGTTGCCAATCATAGAACAGCTGCTGTTCAAATGGAAGGGCTGCTGACAATAGTCACACTCACCTGAGAATATTGGAGCGTTCTAAAAACGTTTTCAAACAGATAAAATAAAACAGCAAAAAAGGTCCATTTAATTCCACTTAATTAATTTTGGTATCCATGACAGATACGTATTTCGACTACAATGTGCAGTCTTCATCAGTGTCACTCCCACTAAAGAACTTATCAAAATCTAACCCCCTTAAGTAATCAGGTAAAAAAGTCAAGATCATAGGTATAAAAATGAAACTACAGTGTGTTGAATCGGAACCTATCTAACTAATAAAAACCAAAGATTTAAGTAAACTAAAGGAGAAAAATCTATACAACTCTCCAATAAGGAAAATCCCAAAGGCTTGGTAACCATACCTCGATATTTGTGTGATCGATTTGAAAGGGGAAGTGATTTTCATAGATATTATACTAGAACCACATTTCTTGACCTGTGCATCACAAAATTCATTATATTTTAAAGGAATACATGTTTTCAATTCAAGAGATGAACCAGCCCAAGGCTAAAAATCTCTCTAGTAAAGCAAAAAAAAATGTGTTCAATTCGACGCCCAGACACACTAAACGAACAACTACACTTACATAATTTAAGAGACACTGCATTTCACACGTTAAAGCTGTCTTTTGAACAGTTATCTAATGATTTTTGTTGATTAATTGACAAATTATGTATTTTGGCGAAGCTTCAACGGATTATTTTACATCGATAGCTGTCATAAAGACTTTTTAATAATTATTGTTGTACGAAAATAAAATTATGCAATTTTGAAGCTTATTTGGAAGATACCTTGAATTAGTATTAAGTTTTCTTGTAAATGTTGGGAGTTCGCAAGCATTCCTGCTGACATTGCTGAAAATTATGATAGCATCAGATTGCGGGGTTGCTAGTGTAATAGGATGCTTTGTTGATTGTTCATTAACTCTTGATCGCTTGTAATACTTATGAATATTTTAGGTGGACAAAAAAGCGAATTAAGAGGTGGACGCCTGAGCTTTTCGACATTTATATGGTTGTGAAGCAACTGTAAACTCTAGAGGGAATTTATATCTGTAACTTTAACCAGTTCGAGTTTGTTTGCTTATCTGTTTAAAATGTCATATTTAATTATCTTAAAGGTAAATCGTCCAGCTCAAACCTTTGTAGGGGTAAGAGGTGGGATCATCATCATCATCATCATCAATCGTCATACATACTTAGCCAATCAAGCCTTACCTTACCGATGAACCTTTACTACTTGATTAAATAGCAGTCAAATTTCACAAATGTTAATGCACTTACTTAAAAGTAACAGCTGTTTAAACTTTTATGAGAAGACAACAAATCACGGTGTTTGTTTTTTATGTCCAGTGTTGTAGCTATTTTATTTATTTTTTTTTTATTTTCATGTTTTAGGCTATTTTGACGTTTTAAACCGTTTCAAGTTTAAGGCAATCACATAGTTTGCAGGTTTTTTGTGGTGTATTTTAGATTTTTTTTTTTTTTAAGAAATTCTATCGAAAAAAGTTTGAGAACCACTGCCCTAGCATGTTTATCAAAGACGTCAATGTTGTTGCAGATTTTCAGTTCAGTTATTCACACTTCTCTCGTTCAAGTCTAGACAGCGATGATCCAGAATATGAATTTTCATATTTTACCGTTTTGACCTTATTATATTATTTGAGACATTTTTGAAATCGAACATAAGTTTTTTCTCTTACTTTTACCACTTACAGGCCTGTATCCGCATATGCACTATTCTTCCGTGACACTCAAGCTGCCATCAAGGGCCAATCTCCGAATGCATCGTTCGGAGAAGTGTCCAAAATTGTTGCATCGATGTGGGACGTGTTAGCGACAGAGCACAAAAACGTAAGTACATACCCCTTAACAGTTGTGCTATATCGTTAAAAATAACCAGTTGTAAGGAGGTATTCTAGCAACAGCAGTAGAATACCAGAAAATTATTGCATCGAATAAATTCACAATAAATGTGCAAAGCCAAGTTAACTTTTGTTTCCGTAAAAGAGTAAAGTAAATACTCCACATTAGCACAAGAAAATGTCTATTTTCAGTTATGAATGATTCAGTCTTTTTACTGACGACTATCCTCGGAAAATATTACTCGATAGATCCATTAATAATTGATTAAGTGCCACCAGAGCCACATCCATATCTAATCGCACATCAAAACAGGCACATTCCACTGCCCTAATTCCGTTTCCACAGATTGAACCGCCTGGGTAGCACAGTGCAAGCAAGTTTTCCCATTAAGTGCGAGCATGTTGTTTTTGTTTTTCGCCTTTTTCGCTGTTTGTTACCGGGACTCGTTTTTCCTCGTTTCGTTGGGTATTGTTTTATGCTCAGCGACTTTAAGTCATGAATAATTCAATGATGATTTTTTTTCCTTTTATACACTTTGGATTTCAACTTCTTTGTGCAAACCAACCATTTGCGCTATTGGTCCGCTGTTATTATTGTAATTCTGATTCTAATCGGATTTTTATCTTTAATTTTCCACTTTTGTTTTACATGAATCTATCTCATCAGCGTTTGGTTGGCGAAATATCTCCGCTGTCGCTCACAGTGAATCTATATTTCACATTTATGCCCCCATGTACATACCCTGGTAAATTGTACCACACTTCTCGATCTAACCTAACACCAAAGACTGTGTATCAGCAATCGAATAATGTGACTTTCTCCCATTTCAAATGGTTTTGCGATGTTTGTTTATTTTCCTATCGTGCGCTTTAGTGCTTCTTCGACATTAGCCAACAGCGCGGAAATGAATAATTCAAAGAAGATTTCCGGAATGTAAATCGAAACGGCGAAGAAAAAATAAATAAAAAGGATGTTTTAAATGGGTTTACCGTCCGCAGACAGCAATATACAGTACGATACGTTTGGATTGCGTCGAAATTGTGTCATAACTGTGAACGGTGATTTGGTGTGTATCAACACGGAGAGTGGAATAAATATACTGTTTATGTAACTGACAGGGTTCATTTGGTTTCATTATCTGACATTTCAAGTGTTTATCGTACTGTATATTGCATATACAGCGAAAAACTGATTCTTAAATTAACATGTGCTGTATTGATAAGATGGAACTGAGTCATCATTAAGCAAAATAATTGGGCCCAATTATTTTGCTTAATGATCATTCACTGATTTGAGGTTTTTTTTTTGTAGTCACGTTAACACTATTGAGTCATTTGTGATATGTACGGGGCTGAAATTTGAAGTCGTGACTTTGGCGAGAGAGGTATGGATGTTGACACTACGCCGGGGCCGTACTCGATTTCAGAATTTAAATTGTGTTCAGATTGTTGATTAAAATCATCATCTGTATCAATAGGGTAAGTGTGCCAGTGTCCTACCTTAAATTTCACAATTTTTAATTTTTAAATATATTTTTTCGTTACAAATTCAATCTGGCGAAGACGGAATGATTTCGAACCAATTTGAACTGTCAAATTTGAACTATTTGTTTTTTGCTGTTGTAAGAAAGAAATAAATAAATGGTATTGGATTTTGAGTAAAAAGAAAATCTTTTATTTTAACAGAGGTAACTTCGAAATAGTTCCCATGATCATATTCCGTTTCATCTGTGCACTTGCAGTGTAGCTGAAAAACTTTGTGTAACTCAAAAACTGCATTCGTTACGAGAGAGACACGCATTAGTTTAATATGCTTATCAATTTGAAATCCATCACTGCAGTCTGAACGTAACTGCCGATTTGTCTTCGCCAGACACTGGTTACAAGGTTTTGACCAATGACTACACTTTCTGTTCGTACAAAGCCGTCAGTGATTGTTTTGCCTCAAAAATTCCCAACGAACTCGAATTAAAAAAATCAATAGCAGTTGGATTATGTTCTGGGCGTTTCCCAGCGAATATATTTTTTCATGTAATATATTTAACTACACATCAGGTTGGTTGGTTGTCTTTATTAAGGAGATTTTCAGCCAGACGCTGGTTCATCTCCGAACTACACATCACTTTCCAAGCATGGAGATGCTTCAATCCACGTAATCTACAACAAAAGGCACGAACCTGCTTAGCATCATTCACGTTGACATTCATAGGCCTATGTTTCATCCTCAGAAATGTCACAAATAATCTCAAAAGTGTTGAAAAATGGTTGTAATAAAAACAACTATAGCTATTAAATTTTTGACAATCAGTATTTGTATCTTCAAATCTGAATCGATCAACCGTTTGATGCTTGTTTAAACATCTTCCATGTAGTGGAGAGAAAACAACATCACAACATGCAAGCAATCATTTCCAAATCTGCTCTGCATCCAGCTTATACCACTCGCCTGTATGTGGATATCATGCTTTCATCCTTGCCTTTTTTTTTATGTTGTGGCACATGGCACTCGTAAAACTGCTCCATTATAAATTGAATATAAATTGAAAATGAATTGAATTTTTCATTTTAATATATTACATTATTATATATGTTTATCTTTCCACCGACCCTCGTTTACTTTTGGAGGTTCCCTTTCTCCAGATCCCAAAACAGCGACGACGACGATGACGACGACAGCGATGAGGAAATGCCCGGTTCGGCGAGAATCCTTCTGCTCCGTAGATATGACGCGCGCCGCGCAGGATATGCACATACGATGCCATCATCATCTACATCCCCCTCACTAGCGTGCGGCACACACTCACACACCAATTGTAAATCTTCATGTGTGCGGATAGCAATGTTTTTTTTTTTCACTTTCAGTTCGGTACGATATCTCGTTTCACTCACAACTCGCAAAATGTTTTATTTTCGCGATGAAATCTATGTTGCTATTCCACACAATATACATATCCTCCATAACCACCAGCCACCACTCCTCATCAAACTCAATTTGGATAAGGGATTTCAAAACAATTTGGTTGATGTATTCACGTAGGTATTGCAGAACTTCCTGTTTATCGATACTTTGAAATGCTGGCGTTTCCCTTGGTAGACACCTCTGCTGTTGCTGATTGATAAATAATTTGTCCTTCTGTGACTATCAATGACGAAAAGACATTGTTGCTGACGAAAATTAGTCTATGATCAATACATGCACAGTAAGGTGGTCAACCCCATGCTACCCACGCCACTTCTTTTTCGATCTATATTTAGGTCCACGAAACCTAAGTGGGCTCTCCTCAGTGTTCGACTTGATCAAGCTTAACAACCTCTAACTGTCCTCAATATATCGCTGTATGAAGGGCCAAAAACGAGTTCAATAAGATCGTATAAATGGTAAAAAAAACGAGCCATCTAACAAGAGGATGTCCCAATGTGCGGAGGGAAGAGCCCATCCTTTATCCACGAAATTTCAACAACAGAGAGTTGACATCCAAATTGCTTCAATGGGATGTCCTGATAGTCCCTCCCAATCTCCAGCATTTTATGTTATCTGTAATTTTTGAAATATTAATGTAATGTGAGCAAATTAACAATATTTGCATTTCATTTCGCGTCAAAAGATAAAGCAGTTAGGGAAATGGATGTAAGGCCGGCGCCGGTGGTGTAGTGGTAAGCGTGACTGCTTTCTAACACCCCGATGGGTCTGGGTTCAATCGGTGGGATTTTTCTGAGGCATAAAAATCTCTGGTCACGTCTTCCTTCGGAAGGGAAGTAAAGCCGTTGGTTCCGGCCCATGTATGTTGAATGGGTGCGATATCCTACGCAGGTGTGGAAGCTGCCTTCCTGCACATTCGATTGCCGTCAATATGGATGGTAATCGATGTCCGTCGGTGATTGGCACTAGATTGCGGAACAGAGACCGACGTTAAAAATAAAAAAAATAAAAGAAATGGATGTAATGTCGGCCTGAATGTCCCTAACTTAAGCCCATACATAAATTCAGCAATCGGCTAAATTTTCAATAGCGACCAAAAATATCCATAAGTACCGTCCCAATGACGCGTTCATCTAGATAAAATTGATAAATAGCTAATTTTTAGCGATAGGCCCAATGTTAGATCCATAGGCTAACATTAGAGCCATTTACCCTATGTCTCATTTTAAAAATGAAATTTGTTGTTAGGGTCTAGATATCCGATTGTGTGACAAAAGATCAATTGACAAATCATCAAATGACAAATCATCGAATGACACAAGGTCGAAAGGACAAAAGGTCGAATGGAGAAACGGTCGAATAGACGAAAGGTGAATTTACAAATGGTCGAATGGATAAAAGCATAGAGGTAACTCTAAGACTAGAAGGTCCCGAAAAAACGTGCTCAACTTTTTGGCCCAGCTCTGGTACTCTCTTCGGTCCCAAGCTAATCGATGCACCCCTCAAAATATGGGAAAATCCACGAACCCCTCATTTTTTTCTGTCAAACTTTCACAGAGAATCAAAACAAACATAGTGTAGTACTAGAATTTCAACTAGAATGGGGTACGTTAATCGATTTGCTTGGGGCCAGTAGGCTAGTCAAGTAGTGAGCCAATTTCAAATCGATAGTTTCGTATTGATTGTTGATAAAAGGTCGAAGGATTGAAAGAATGACAAAAGGTGGAAAGATTCAAAAAAGGGGAAAATAAAAGATCGAATGACAAAAGGTATAAAAGGTTTAAGGTAGAAAGGTGGAATTTACAATAGGTCGAATGAATCAATGCGGGACAAAAGTTCGAATGATGAGAAAGGGAAAATAGTTTGAATGAAAAAAAAACTGCAAATGTCTCAAAGAGGGACAATAGGTAAATTAAATGTAAATGGATCAATTCACGTGTTAAATTAATATAGCCTTTGAACTATTCCAAGACGTTGAATTTCGATGTAATATACCTTATAATATGGGTGCTTTCAGAAGGACGATGACGTGTAAGGACCGACCATAAATTGTTGACGCCAGTTTGGAA